CGTGTATTTTGAAGCTATGTTCTCAGCTTTAAATCTTAAATGTTGGCATGTTGGATTGTTACATATGCTTGATAATTTGACCTTTGCATCACTATGCAGGATCTCTTGCTATCCTGGTAATATTTATCATTATTAAGTGAAATGGGGATTTTTTTAGATTTATTTTTGTATTTGAAAGGCAGAGCAGTAGAGAGGTGGGTAGTGAGAGAGAGACATCATCATTCCCCAAATGGTCTCGACGTTCAGGGCTGTACAAGGCCCAGCCAGGTTGAAGCCAGGAGCCAGGAACTCCATCTGGGAGAACTTGAGTCATTATCTACTGCTTCCTGGGCACATGAGGCAGGAGCTGGATCAGAGTGGAGTAATCAGGACTCAAACTGGCTCTCTGATAGAGGAGGCAGGTATCACAAGCAGTGGTTTAACCACAGTGCACAATGCCAGCCCCTAGCTTTTGTATAATAGTATCAGGTGCATTTCCTTCTTTCTTTCTTTCTTTTTTTTTTCTTTTTCTTTTTTTTTTTTTTTTGACAGGCAGAGTGGACAGTGAGAGAGAGAGAGACAGCGAGAAAGGTCTTCCTTTGCCGTTGGTTCACCCTCCAATGGCCGCCGCGGCCGGCGCGCTGCGGCCGGCGCACCGCGCTGATCCGAAGGCAGGAGCCAGGTGCTTCTCCTGGTCTCCCATGGGGTGCAGGGCCCAAGGACTTGGGCCATCCTCCACTGCACTCCCTAGCCACAGCAGAGAGCTGGCCTGGAAGAAGGGCAACCGGGACAGAATCCGGCGCCCCAACCAGGATTAGAACCCGGTGTGCCGGCGCCGCAAGGTGGAGGATTAGCCTAGTGAGCCGCGGCGCCGGCTTCCTTCTTTCTTTATATTAATAGTTTGCATGATATATCTTTATTCATCCTTTCACTTTTAACCTACCTCTTTCTATTTAAATAGATTTCTCATAGATAGTATATTGTTAGGTCTTGCTTTTTAATTAAGTATGACATTCTCTTTGGGATATTGAAAGAATTTGCATTTTAAAAATTTTGAGATTGTAGAAAATAAATCTACTGTCTTTCTATTTGTTTGCCATTAATCTCCTTTGTTTTTTTATATTCTTTCTATTTTCCTACATTATTTTAGACTCGGAATTGTTATGATTCCATTTTTTCCACAATTGACTTATTAGATATGTATTTTATTTTTGTGGTTTCTTTGGGTTTTAAGCTGTATTTATGTTACTTATGTATTTATATATTTGAGAGAGAGAGAGAGCGCGCTCCCATCCTCTGGTTTACTCCCCGGATGCCTACAAGGGCTGGAGCTGGGCTGGGGCTGGGATGGAGTGAAAGCCAGAAGCCAGAAACTCCATCCAGGTCTCCCACATCTGTGGTAATATCTCAGCCACTTGAGCCATCCTGCTGCCTCCCAGGGTCTGCATTAGTGGGAAGCTGGAGCCAGAAATGGAACTCCAGTGTGCAATGTGGGCATCTTAACTGCTAGGCGAAGCACCTACCCCTAAACTATGTTTTTTTTTTTTGTGTTTTTTTTCTGACAGGCAGAGTGGACAGTGAGAGAGAGAGACAGAGAGAAAGGTCTTCCTTTGCCATTGGTTCACCCTCCAATGGCCGCCGCGGCCAGCGCGCTGCGGCCGGCGCACCGCGCTGATCCGATGGCAGGAGCCAGGAGCCAGGTGCTTTTCCTGGTCTCCCATGGGGTGCAGGGCCCAAGCACCTGGGCCATCCTCCACTGCACTCCCTGGCCACAGCAGAGGGCTGGCCTGGAAGAGGGGCAACCGGGACAGAATCCGGCGCCCCGACCGGGACTAGAACCCGGTGTGCCGGCGCCGCTAGGCGGAGGATTAGCCTAGTGAGCCGCGGCGCCGGCTAAACTATGTATTTTTAATATATTACAGTTTGCCTTCAAAGAATTGTGCATAATTTTCCCTATCGTGCAAGAACCTTTCAGTAATATCTTCTGTTTCCCAATCCTGGTCTTTGGGTTGTTGTCATACAGTTTACTTTTACATATAATTGCCACAATTTATATTCTTACTATTTCTCCAGTGAGCAGTTACCTTTTTTTAGAGGAATTAAAGAGAAACAGATCTCATACTCATGCAGCGCAGTCCTCAGCACTCTTCATTTGTTTCTATAGATCCAGGTTCTTATTTGATATCATTTTTCTTAGACCAGAAGAATTCCCTTTAAAAATGCCTCTATTATACGTCTAACTCTTTTTAGTGTGTGTTTAAAGTCCGTGTTTCACCTTTATTTGTGTAAGATGCTATCACTGAGTTTACAGTTCTAGGCTGATGTTTTCTTTATTCCATATCTTCTTGGTGGCATAATCCCTGATGAAAAGTCTGTTGTCATTCTTTTCTTACTTTGGGCATAATTTTCCCCTACCTGTCTACTTTTTTTTTTTTTTTTTTTTTTTTTTTTTTTTTTTTTTTGCTGGGCAGAGTTAGACAGTGAGAGAGAGACAGTGAGAGAGAGAGACAGAGAGAAAGGTCTTCCTTCCGTTGGTTCAACCCCCAAATGGCTGCCGCGGCCGGCGCACCGCACTGATCCGATGGCAGGAGCCAGGTGCTTCCTCCTGGTCTCCCATGCGGGTGCAGGGCCCAAGCACTTGGGCCATCCTCCACTGCCTTCCCAGGCCATAGCAGAGAGCTAGACTGGAAGAGGAGCAACTGGGACAGAATCCAGCACCCCAACCAGGACTAGAACCCAGGGTGCCAGTGCCATAGGTGGAGGATTAGCCTAGTGAGCCACGGTGCCAGCCTACCTGTCTACTTTTAAGATATTTTTTATTGATGTTCCACAATTTGGATGTGATGTTATGTCTTAGTGGTGATTTCTTTTCTTTTACTTATTTCTTTTTTGAAAGTCAAAGTTACAGAAAGAGGGAAAGACACAGAGAGAGATCTTTCATCCGTTGATTCTTTCCCCAAATGGATGCCCTGGCTGGAGCCAGGAGCTTCTTACAAGTTTTCCATGTGGGTCCAGGGGCCCACGTACTTGGGCCATCTTCCACTGCTTTCCCAGGTGCATTAGCAGGGAGCTGGATCAGAAGTGGAGCAGCCAGAACTAGAACTCTGGTGCCCATATCGGATGCCGGTGTCATAGTTGGTGGCTTGAACTGCTATACCGCAATACCAGCCCCAGGGCTGCTTTTTTTATTCTGCTTGGGCTGTGTTAAGCATCTGAAGTGTAGATGTGTAGTTTTTGACCAATCTGAAAAAAAATTTGCCATTTTTCAAGTAATTTTTTACCTCCTATTTTCTGCAGCTTCATTGTGTTTCTGAGTGTGTGTGTGTGTGTGTGTGTGTGTGTGTGTGTTAAACTGCTGGATATTGTCCAAGCTCTGTTCAGTTTTCCCTACCTGTTAGCCTCTCTGAATTTCATGTTTAATGGTTTATCCTGTCCCTGTGTTCGGTTGTCCCTACCCATGCCCCAACTTGGAAATTGCCTGCAGGCGATCAGCTGAGCCCACCAGGGTGCTTCTCTCTCTCCCTCTCTCTCTCTCTCTCTCTCTCTCTCTCTCTCTCTCACCACAGCCTGCGTGCCTGTCCCAGAGCGGCTCTGTCATGCTTTGTGGTTATCTGCATCAGGAGGGGAAATCCCACTGCAGGTCATCCTTAACATTCAGTAGTGAAAATCTCTCTCTCCAGTAGTGTTGTATTTGACGGGCAAATCTGATACAAAGATAGGATTGGGATTCTGTCTTGCTTTTCATTGGCTTCCTTCTTTTCCTATGTTAGTGGAGGCTACAGCACTGCCTTCCCAGTGGTTGCAAAACCTTCCTTCAAGTTCTTATTCCAGAATTGCTTAACTTGTCCTGCAGGATCTAGCAGGAGAGGCCAGGACAGTCTTGTTTCTGGGTATGGGAAATGTGGCCTCAGCCTCTCTGGCCTGACACCTGGGACTTGGAGCGTGTGGGGGCAGGCTGTGTGTGTCCCATGATAGAATCCACATGGCTGTTTGTTGAACACGTGTGTGACTGAGATTCTTCCTGGTCAGAAATGATTGTGGCCGGCGCCGTGGCTCAACAGACTAATCCTCCGCCTTGCAGCGCCAGCACACCGGGTTCTAGTCCCGGTCGGGGCGCCAGATTCTGTCCCGGTTGCCCCTCTTCCAGGCCAGCTCTCTGCTGTGGCCCGGGAGTGCAGTGGAGGATGGCCCAAGTCCTTGGGCCCTGCACCCGCATGGGAGACCAGGAGAAGCACCTGGCTCCCTGTGCAGGGAGGAGAATGGCCTAGGCCCCTTCTTTATAACTGGATGCCATCACCTAGATGCAAGTTAACAGGAGCTGCAGGGACAGTCGGTGAGGCATCCAGGAATGGGGGACTTGGGAAGTTGTCCCGGCCCTGCTGTGTTCTCGGCCTCATTAGTGTCCCCGTGTTCACACGGAGAGCTGTGATGATACAGTACTTTGTGTTATATACAACTTTGTCTTCCTTTTTCATTCACTGAATAAGACTTCTGTTCAAGGAGCCTACTTCACCAGGTTCAAGGGGAAATGGAAATCCAAGACAAGTTTGTTTTGGTGCAGCAAAATGTTGGAATTTTGTGGTTTTCCTGTAATGCATATTTGCCATGAATCCTTTGAAGTCCCCGTGTATGCATAGATTATAAAATCGGAAGCACCCTTGGATGTGGAAAAGACAAAAGTGCTTGCTTTAAAGAAATGGTGAGTGTGGCCCCTTGGCCACGGGGGGTGTAACTGACTCCCCTCCCTCCCGTTGCCAGGTTTAGGGTCTGTGATTCCTGTTCACTGAATTCACCCTGTCCCAGGTGCTCTGCTCAGCTCTCCCTGTGTCGTGCAGTTCCCATGTGATTGTCTTCATTTTCCCAAATGGTGACCATGACACTTTCTTTGCAAGCATAGGTGGTTGTTTAAGGAGGAGCTGGTACCTCAACGCAGGTCTTGGTCCCGAAGCCCATGCTTTGGCTTTGCTCCCCATACACTTTGTACCCTGCAAGGTGACCCACTATCCCCATTGTGCCCACAGCTGACAATGAAAACAACATTGCCTCCAACCAGTCCCGGTCACCACCTGCTGTTGTGGAAGAGAAGTGGAAACCCCAGGCTCAGAGGAACAGTGCCAATAACAGTAGGTGTCCCAACTGGGGCTGGGGCACAGAGCACGTGCAGGGGGCTCCTGCTGCACCCATTCTGGTTGCTCCCCTCTGTCCCCCATTTGCATCACCTGTGCCTCCCATGACAATGCAAGGTGACACATAACCGTTGCTTAAGCACTTTTCTCATTTTATTTATTTGTTTGAAAGGCAGACAGACAGACAGATTTCCCATCCTAGTGGTTCACTTCCCAAATGCCTGCAACAGAGCCCAGCCAATGCCAGAGCCAAGAAACTTAGCCTGGGTTCCCAAAGTGGGTAGCAAGGCCATCACCTGCTGCCACGCAGGGTGTGCATTAGCAGGAATATGGAGTTGGGAGCAGGGCTGGGACACAAACCCAGGCCTCCACTATGGGATGTGTGCGTCCCAGCTAGCATCTTAACCATGAGGCCAAACGCCTATCCCTGCAGAAATTCTTAACTCACGGGCTGGACATAGGTGGGCCTAGGGTAAGGTGATGGATTTTTGGTGTGTGTAGACAGAGGGCGACAATTAGTGACCAAATCAAAGCCAGAACCCACTTCTCCCATCTCTATTGGCTGCTCTTCCCTGCCACCAGGGCCCCATATATTTCACTCACTACCTATACTACTGCCTATATTTGGAGGCAATTCCTACCCTGAGGGAGAGGTTGGACTGGGCTGGTTGACTTCCAAGGCCCAGGTGAATGTCACTCAAAAAACACCAGTGTTGCACACAGCTCACTGTAGTCTAACCCCATATCCGTGGCAGGCATTACTAGCCAATCACGGAACTTTCTCCCAGTGAGAAAGCAGCCAGCACCACCAGTTCGTATACCAGATAACAGATCTGTTCATCCTCTCTAATACGCTTAGAGTATAGGCTGTTGTGTCGAACCAAGCAGCCTCGAATGCCTGCTTTAATCACATCTCTCTCTGTGTCCCCTGCCAGCCACGACCGGTGGCTTAACACCCAACAGCATGATCCCCGAGAAGGAGCGGCAGAACATCGCGGAGCGGCTGCTGCGGGTCATGTGTGCCGACCTGGGGGCGCTGAGCGTCGTCAGCGGGAAGGAGTTCCTGAAGTTGGCCCAGACCTTGGTGGACAGCGGCGCCCGCTATGGCGCCTTCTCGGTCACCGAGATCCTGGGCAACTTCAACACGCTGGCGCTGAAGCACCTGCCGCGCATGTACAACCAGGTGAAGGTGAAAGTTACGTGCGCCCTGGGCAGCAACGCCTGCCTGGGCATCGGCGTCACCTGCCACTCACAGAGCGTCGGCCCCGACTCCTGCTACATCCTCACCGCCTACCAGGCCGAGGGCAACCACATCAAGAGCTACGTGCTGGGAGTGAAGGGCGCGGACATCCGTGACAGCGGCGACCTGGTGCACCACTGGGTGCAGAACGTGCTGTCGGAGTTCGTGATGTCGGAGATCCGGACAGTGTACGTGACGGACTGCCGGGTGAGCGCGTCCGCCTTCTCCAAGGCCGGCATGTGCCTTCGCTGCTCAGCCTGTGCCTTGAACTCGGTGGTGCAGAGCGTGCTGAGCAAGCGGACGCTGCAGGCCCGTAGCATGCACGAGGTCATCGAGCTGCTGAATGTGTGCGAGGACCTGGCGGGCTCCACGGGCCTGGCCAAGGAGACCTTCGGGTCGCTGGAGGAGACCCCGCCGCCGCCCTGCTGGAACTCCGTGACGGACTCGCTCCTGCTGGTGCACGAGCGCTACGAGCAGATCTGCGAGTTCTACAGCCGCGCCAAGAAGATGAACCTCATCCAAAGCCTCAACAAGCACCTGCTCAGCAACCTGGCCGCCATCCTGACGCCCGTCAAGCAGGCGGTCATCGAGCTGAGCAACGAGAGCCAGCCCACCCTGCAGCTGGTGCTGCCCACCTACGTGAGGCTGGAGAAGCTCTTCACGGCCAAGGCCAACGACGCGGGCACCGTCAGCAAGCTCTGCCACCTCTTCCTGGAGGCGCTCAAGGAGAACTTCAAGGTGCACCCCGCCCACAAGGTGGCCATGATCCTGGACCCGCAGCAGAAGCTGCGGCCCGTGCCGCCCTACCAGCACGAGGAGATCATCGGCAAGGTGTGCGAGCTCATCAGCGAGGTCAAGGAGTCGTGGACCGAGGAGGCTGACTTCGAGCCCGCCGCCAAGAAGCCCCGCTCCGCCGCGGCCGAGAGCCCCGCCGCGCAGGAGGACGACCGGCTGGGCAAGAACGAGGTGTACGACTACCTGCAGGAGCCCCTCTTCCAGGCCACCCCCGATCTCTTCCAGTACTGGTCGTGCGTGACCCAAAAGCACACGAAACTGGCCAAGCTCGCCTTCTGGCTCCTGGCGGTTCCGGCCGTGGGGGCACGAAGCGGGTGTGTAAATATGTGTGAACAAGCACTTCTAATCAAAAGGAGGCGGCTGCTCAGTCCGGAAGATATGAACAAACTCATGTTTCTGAAATCCAACATGCTTTAAGATGTTAACTTCGGGGAAAAAAAATAAGAAAACAGCAGAGAACATTAGAAAACACACACACACACATACACAAAACACTGTCACAAACAAAGAAAAGGAATTTAAGTTTTAAACACTGTGGACCTCATTCTAACTGCCCCCTGGAAACTTAAGTGCTTTTTTTCCGGTGTGTGTGTATGCATGTGTGTACACACCCACACCCAGGGGTGCGTGTCCGAACACGTGTGCCGTGGCAGTAGGGGCATGGAGGCCTCTGCGCCCGTCTCCATGGCCAGAGCAGCCTCGCACACGCGTGTACACACATACCACCCTGGTGCATGCCCACGTGTCTGCTTGCAGGCGCGTGCGCATTGAGCTGGGTGTGTCAGGAAGCTGGGGGAGGGGGAGAGAGGAGGGCCGGCCGTTGCCCTCCCCCTCTTGGGAAGGGAGCTCTTAGAAGACTCGGTGTTCAGGTGTGCAGATGGTGGGAAGCTGAGGTTGTGAAACGTTCAGGCAGCTGAGACCTGGAGTGACTTGACGCCCGCTCTCCTCCTCCCCAGCCCCACCCCCTCCCTGGCTCCGCCTCCCCGCCCCCTGCTGCTCTGCCACGGAGTCTCCCGCCGCCGGCACCAGACGGACAGTGTGTGCACTGGACTTGGCTTCTCGTTCACCTTCAGGGCATTGAGCTGCCGCCCCCCCGTGCCGCCTCTCTGGTGCGCGGGGGCAGCCGCCTTAGAAACACATCTATCTATCTCCCCAAATCAGGAAAGGAGACTTTTCAGACTACAAAGCTGACGTTTTTGCTTTTTAATATAAGAGAGAGGAAGGAAGAAAAAAAAAGAGACATTTTTCAGAGAAGTATAGATACCGTCTCCACTCCTTAATGGGTTTTTTTCTCCTAACATGATAGCAAGTTCCACTGTTTTTGGGGGTCCGTTCTGTTTTGTCAGATTCGATGTAGACTCTGCTAGGAGGCACTGAATGTCTGTAACTTATGTTTGGGAGTTTCGTTTGCCGTTTCTGTTCGAGTCACACTGTAAACTAGCTCATCTCAGTGGTATAGTCGGTACCCTAAGATTTCACTAACCTTTGCTGTACAGTAAGGTTTTCATGTATCTCAGCGGCCAAGGTCACGTACTTGGCTGTGCTGTCTGGGAGACCAAGGCTGAGGGAGGAGGGGCGGGTTCCACGGATGTCGGTCCAGTGGACGCCATAGCAGTGGGGGTGGGGCGGGGTGGGGTGGGCGTGTGGCTTGAGGGGTCCTCCCCCACGCAGGTGGAGGAGCCTCCCTCCTGCTCCGCGTGTCTGGTCCCACAAATGTCTGAGCGCGTGCCCAGAGTCCATGACACTGCTCACCCGCTTCCAGCCCCTTCCAGCTCAGCAGGGGCTCCCGAGATGATCCTCGTGACCCTCACCATACCCAGGCCCACAGCCCCTTTTTCCTTTCCGGGGGTTCCAGGGTTCCCATGGGTCCACTACCCGCCGCCCTCCAGGGGTCCTCATGGGCCCCCAGCCACCTCCCCGTGGGCCAGGCAGCCGTTGCAAGGGTGCAGGGCATCCGGCCACGTTCAACTTGATGCTGTGAAAGACGCCTTCAGGCTTTCCTTCCCCATCCCCCCACCGCAAGCACCGAGGGTCCACGCCCCCAGCCCACGTGCTGGAAGTGGCTGCCCCTGACCTCCACCCCGCCCACCTCTCCATGAATAAGGCACTGGGGTCCCATAGCCCCCTGCCCCCGTGACCACAGGGCTCCTTCAGGCTCAGAGTGACCCCCCCATTGTGGGAGGCTGTGGGCAGAGGTGCCTTCTCCCATCTTGGGGGTGGGCCGAGTGCACCCCTTCCCCTCGAAAAGCATTACTCAACTGTGAGATACCTCGACTACAAAAAGCACTGTACTGCAGCCCTCCCCGGCTCCTGGGCAGGAGCGGGAGCAGAACCGGCAAACGAACTCACGGCTTAGGATTGTGCATCCAGAACACTGGCCTTGGGGGCTGAACCCGCGCACCTCGCCTGCCTCGAGAGCACTGACCCTGCCCTTCCTCCGGAGTCTGGGACTTTCTGAGATGAATCACAGCAGGCTGTCGCCACCCTCACCCCAGCAAGCCGTGGGACCCTCCCCCTGCACTGGAGCGGGAGCCGGAGAGATCCGGGTGCGAACTGAACGTCACTTCCCAGGGAGAGTGGAGGCATCGGCACATGTTTGGGTTGGACCCTTGGGGACGGTCACAAGCTGGTCTCAGGGTTGCTGCTGAGTGTCAGATGCCTACTGCAAAACGTTCCTGCAGCCTTGCTTGCCTGCCAGGGGAAGGGCCCCAGCCTGGCACAGAGGATAGGAGCCGCCCACTTGGTGCGTCAGCGAGGGCAGAGTTGGGAGCGCACCGTTTGTCTCCCTGGGGCGGAGCTGCGCTGTAGGCCCTGTCACGGAGCCGTTGAGCTAGCAGAGACGCTTCACCCTCCTGCAAAGCCATCAGCAACCAGGCCTACGCGTGCCTGTCGAGCCCTTGGCATCCTCGTGGGAGACGGTCTGCCCTTCGGAAGGGAAGTTGGAGTAAGGCCAGTTAAACTCTAGATGTCTGGACATAAGTGTCACCTCCTGTCCTAGCCTTTTCCTCCTGGCTTGCTCTGCGGGTTTGAAGTGGATTGCCACCATGTCCTCAGAAAGCTGTGTCCTGGGGCCGCCTCTCCTCCAGGTGGACAGCAAGGTGGCGGGCAATCTTTTCACTGTTGCCACCTCTTGTTCCCCGGAAACCGGCATCGCCAGCAGGCAAGGCTGTGTCCCAGTGTCCTCTGGGTCCCACAGGTCGTTCCCACAGTGCACATCCTGCTGCGGCATGTAGCTTAGCAAAACCCAAAGATCTCCACAGATCCAGCCACCGGCCCGCTGCTTCCAGCAATACCGACCTCACCAAATTCTAGTTCAGCCAAAGGATTGAGACAGGCTCTTGCAGCTCATCTCCTGGCACCCCACCTGCCCTTGACTTTGGGAAGGATTTTTCTCATCTGCCTCCCAGCTCTGCGATGGCTCTAGATCTTTCCACCACAGGCCTGGGGCGGCCTGGGAGGCTGAGGGGCGGCAAGAAGTTGGGCCATTTTTGTCATTTTCAGTAGTTCAAGGTGCTTGCCTGCTGACCTGGATACAGCTTGCCTATTTCCTCGGACAGACACAGCGTTTGTTCTGATGCACATGGACGCAGGAGCTGGGGTGGAGAGCACACGCCTCCACTTAGAAGGTGTTTCCCCCCAGCTGAGGTCAGTCTGCTTCACCACCAAAGCCCAAGCCAGGAACCCCAGCCTTGTGGGTGGTCCCTCGGATTGTAGCCGTCCAGGAGGGACAGGGCCATTCCAGTCGTAGATGGATGCACTTGGCTCGGCACGGTTCTTCTCCCCGAAGCCCGGACCAACCAGCCAGACCTCCCTGCCGTGGCGTTTAGAAACCAGGAAGCAACACCGGCACCACCTCTCCAAAACTGCACTGTCTCCAGGCATTGGCGGCACAGAACATGGGCCAGCATTGCCACTGCCCTACTTGGGAGCTTCCTGCTGGGCACTGGGGACTTGGCAGCTCTTGGCTGGTGCGAGGACACTAAGGTTTCCTGGCGAGCAAGGGGCAGTCAGGGATTGTAGGAAAATTTGGTTTGGTTTGGTTTTTTAAAGCATGTAGGCTGCCAAGGGCCCTCTCTTTCAATTTGACCTTTTGTCTCCCGCACTTTGAAGAAGCACTTGAGAAAATTCTGCAAGGCGCGTTTTCCACTGTGAAGCCGAACCCCTGCCTTTCGGAGTCTCCTGTTCTTGAGCAAGGCCACCGACTTTCCCTGCGCTGGGGACGGGGCTCCGTGAAACACGAGCACCTGGAGAGAGAGGTCCACCGGGAAGGTTTAACATGAAGCTGGGCTGTAGATGGAGAAGGGAGGCCCTGTGAGATGGCCCAGGAGGGAGCTCCGCCCACATCCTCGCCATCGGGGCAATGGTGCCCGAAGAGGAGGCTGCTCCTGCCCTGCCCTGCCCAGTTTTCCCAAGTTCATAGCTTTGCCCTCTCCCTGGGAGCCGTGGCAACGCCTCTCTGTCTCTGGGTTGTCTCTGCAGGACGGCTCCTGGGAAGACCCAGTGGCCAAGCAAAGCTCAGGCCTGGCCCTGCCAGCCCCGCCCCAGCCCCTGTGTCCAGCTGGGCCAGTGGGGAACTGGGCAGGAGGCCGCCGTGCCCTTCACTGTGGCTCATGATTGCTAGGCCAGTTATGGTGAACCAATGATGCCGTGTTTTCCCTCTTAGGTTTCCTGCCCGGGGTTGCCCGGTCCAGGGTTTTCTGGGGGTCTTGTCACTGTTCTTTGTCCTCCTCTGTCATCTGGGCTTGAGGACTGTGCTCTGGCGAGCCCTGGCTTTCACAGAAGGAGCCCTGTGGTTTGTGTGCAGAGAGGCCCTGCTCCCGCCTGGAGGAGGGCAAAGATGTTCAGGTGGTTGACTGACATGCTCACGCCCCGCCCCCACCCCACCCCTCCATGGGTTCAAGTCCTGTCCAGAGAGATGGATTTCCCAGGGTCGCAGTCGGGCGGCAGCATCAGCACCCACGAGGGTCCTTCCCACTCCAGCGTCCCGCTGGGCACCTTGAGTCTTCGAACCAAAGTTCCTTACGGGGCACAGCCCAGCCTTGTCCGAAACCTCAGGGGCCTGGGATTCCCGTGGCACTTGCTCAAATCCCGGTTGGCACAGGCCGTGGGGGGTCTGACTCCAGCCGGAAGAAGGGGCTCCTCCTGTAACCCCGGCGCCAGCCGGTCTCTGCCCAGGACCCGCCCACCAGCCCACCCACCCAGCCGCCAGGCCACCCCGGGGTGGGTGGCTTCCCCAGGTGTGGGGGAGGGGGGCCTCCCCGGCCAGGAGAGAGCGCCAGTCACTCCGCAGCGCCGTTCCGATCCCAAGCATCAGGAAATCATTTTGTACAACCACCCGATGCAGAGATATTTTTTAAAAAGCGTAAATTATTTTTCGTTGTTTTCTGATCCTACCTTTTTCTTCTCCCTGCAACTTCACGTCGGTGATTCGTTCACATCAGGTAAACCTTGAGAAAGCCTTGGTGCCCCTTCCTCCCACCTGGCCACTCAGTAACCACGTGCGTGCACCCTGCATCCTACCTGGTAGTTAACGACGTTCTAGGCAATACCACGGACACACCTGACTGTGTCTCTCTCTTCGAGTGCAAGAAACTAAGTCATCTTAAAAAAAAATACAAAAAAAAAATTTACAAAAAAACAAACACAAAAAAATATCTTTTTTAGGCCAGAGTTTTTCTACAGGTATTAATGAATATTTTTCTTAATCCTTATAAGTTTTATGTGTTTAATATTTCTTAATACCGGTAGCATTAATTTATACTTTTGTAGCAACACAATATTTTTATAAACAGCCAGTGTTTGGCTCAAGTCTTCACGAGGGGTTTATCCAGGGCCGTGTTGGGCTCTGTGTACCATGTACTGTATTTTAAAAAAAATAAAAAGTTACCTAGTGTCACACTTGCTGTGTTAATTAACAAACAATGTTCCCGGTCTCCTGTGTGGTCGGTAAGGGACCCAGCGGTTCTCCTGCATTGGAGGGGGTTGAGTTGACGCTTCTTGTGACGTGTGAACCCCCGAGACCAAACTTGAGGGTTTATTTAGGGTTTTCTGTTTTGTCTTTTGGGTTGTTTTGTTTTGTTTTGTTTTCACTTTGTTTTTGGTACCATTTCTCCATTTACAGCCAAAATCAGTTTTATGATGTTTAAAACTTTGACTGATGTCAAATGGAGGAAAGGAACAGAAGAAAAAAAGATTTTTACAAAGTAATAAAATTTAAAACTGAGCTGTTTAAATGTTGCTGTTTTTACCTGTCTGTTCTCGTGCGGAAGTGGAGCGTTCCCACTGAGAAGAGGTAAAGTCCACTTGGTTCCTTAAATCGCCAAAAGCCCCAGCCCAGGAATCAGTACCTCCCCCCGCCCCCTGTCCCCTGAGTTCTTATGACATTATTTCCCAGTTGGTTGATGCCAAGGCAAAAAAATAAAAATAAAAAAAAAATCCTTTTAACGGTTAGAGAGGATCAGTTGCTTAAATGATTTCATGTCAGTGTTGTATTTATGGTTTTACAATAAAACGACCTTTAGGAAGAAGCGGTGTGTAGTGTGTTTCCTTGGGTTTGGGGCTGAACCATTCCAGCCACATAGCGGTGCACCTGCAGGGGCCATGGGGGAGGGGTGGCAGTGGAGATGAACCATAAGGCAGGGTGCCTGGTGACAGTTCGAGTCCGTCCTAGGGGGCTGCTGTGTGAGGCTGGAGCCGCCAACCCTGGATACTGAGCTCCTCTCTAGTCCCAAAGGTTTCATAGACCAGGGAGGGCCATGACCAAGGAAGACAGGAACCCCTGTGGGCTTGCTTGTGGAGCCGTGTGCCCTGGGAGAAGGGCTGGGTTTCATGTTTGGGTACCGTGAGCCCCAGGCCAGAGGCTCACAGCCAAGTGCACCTTAGCCCGTGGTCAACTGTGCAGCTCTCGTGCCCTTTACCCAGCAGCTCGGCCTCCCAGTAACATCATAGCATTAGGACTGCTGTGTGTATCGACCGTTTTCTGGGACTAAGTGTCCATAGCTTTGGCCCAATCCCTGATGGCCCCTGGGACTGTAAACAAGTGTGTGTGGCACGTGGAAACCCTGAACGCTGGGCTAGACTTCCAGAAGGCACCAGTCTGCAGGTGCTTGGCACGGCGATGGAGACACCACGTGGGACACCCGCATCCTGTATCAGCAGTGCCTGGTTGGGGTCTCGGCTCCTCTGGCTTCCGATCCAGATTCCTGCTATGCACACCCTGGGGAGCAGCAGGTCCTGGCTCATGCACTTCAGCCCCTGCCACCCACTTTGGGGCAGACCCAAAATGTATTCCAGACTCCTGGCTTTGGCCTGGCCCAGCCCTAACTGTTGTGGATATTTGGGAAGTGGACCAGCAGATGGAAGATGGACCTCCCTCTGTCTCTCTCTGCCTGTCAAATAAAATGAAGAAATAAAACTATTTAAAAAACAACAACAAAAAACAGAAAGCTATCGAGTTTTCTCAGTGAATTGTTGACATCCTGGAGCCCGTGGTTGAAGTTTGAGTTTGGATTACCTCTTAGTAGAAATTTCTGGCACGTGTCACGAGAGCAGAGGCCTCCTGGGCCAGGCTGGTGGCAGGCAGGGCTGGACCACACGGTGAGGCCCAGTCTGGAGGGGCCTTCTTGGCTCCGATTCAACCTTTCGCTGGCATCAGATGTGGGTCCAGGGCTGCCCATGCCCGTGCCCAAGCTTCGAGTCTTTAAAGAGATTGAGCAACCCAGATTTGGATGGGGAAGCTCAGTTTTTAAACGTTGAATTCAGAATGGTAAAGAAACTGAGCCGAGCATCCCAGCCTCGGCCCATGCACCTGAAGCAGCCCTGTCCTTCAAGTCACTTCAAAGTTTCCCTTTGCAGGCAGTGCCTACCAGCTGCCCTCGATGGCTGGCCCTGGCGTTGGGGCACGTTTGGAGGACAGTGGGTGGACAGGGGACACAGTGGCCTCGCTTAGTCCCAGGCTAACAGGGCTCGCTGCCCCCTCCGCAGCTGCCTGTCCCTGCTCCTCACCCACCCTCGTCTGCCCAGAGATTGCTCCCGTGACCTCAGAGGCTGTCCCCCAGGATACCTGCAAGTCCCAAGCTCTGGACGTGGGGGAAGACCCAGGAAGGGGTTGTTTGTGTCTAGCCAAGGGAGCCACCCAGCTTTCTACACCCAAGCCCTCGCCCTGCCTTCATCCCCTCCTTGCTTCCCCTCTGGGTCTCCTAAGCAGAGGAGCTAAGGCAACGCTTTGGGTTGGCCACTGGCCCATCCTACTGCACACCCCACAGAGAGGCACAGCTTGGGCCCTGCCGGGTTCCAGCGGCAGGGGCCAGGTCTCCCCCACAGAGCACCTGGCTGGGGACTTCCATCCCTCGGCAGCCATGGCTGCAGCCCTCAGCATGATGAATCTGATGTTTGTAGATCCCACATAGACACCCTGGACGTGCCTGGAAATGTGTTCTTGGGCCAGCTTGGTCCACAGGCCACCCTGGACAGCGGGCATCTTCTGTTTCCCAGAGAGGGAGAAGCCAGGCTGCAGGCTCCAGCTGGGGACCCAGCTGCTTAGTCAGGACCCAGTGGAAGGCAGTGAACATTCTGCTTCCAGGGCAAAGGGCCAGCGTGGCACCCCGGGGACGAATGCAGAAATAGCCAGGGTCCCGGGGCTCCTGGCAGCTGGCACTGGGGATGCAGATGGGACCGAGGCAACATGCTGGGGAGTGCCTGGTGCAGCAGGTGATGGGGGAGCCGCTACAGGAGCTCAAGGGGAGAGGGCCCTGATGCCCCGGCTCACCAGGCCCCAGCTACTCCTTCTGACCCCATGGACCACCGATGACTTCCTGTCAGGCCTCTCCAGCTGCCCAGAATTCCTCCTCCTCTCTCTCCTGGCCTGATCAAAACAAGCAAAGCCAATCCCATTTTCCACAAACGTCCTTGGCCTTGTGATTTGCACAACCAATGTCATGTACAGAAGATAGTTCTAAGGGGCCAGCGCTGTGACGTAGTGTGCTAAGCCTCTGCCCATGGTGCCAGCATCCCATATGGGCACCGGTTCCTGTCCTGGCTGCTCCACTTCTGATCCAGCTCTCTGCTGTGGCCTGGGAAGGCAGTAGAAGATGATCCAAGTCCTTGAGCCCCTGCACCCGTGTGGGAGACCCAGAAGCAGCTCCTGGCTCCAGTCCTTGGATCGGCGCAGCTCCGGCCATTGGGGCCATTTGGGGAGTGAATCAGCAGATGAAAGACCTTCCTCTCTGTCTGTAACTCTGCCTCTCAAATAAATAAATAGTACCTCTTTAAGGAAAAAAAAAAGTTCTACCACATTCTACCACCTATGCTCTCCACTTCTGGGCCATGCTGGGTTACTCACACCCCCGCCCCGTGCTTCAGCTTCCCCTCCCTCCACTTTACGCCCCCAATGACAATGAGTTGTCAGAACATGGGGTTTAGAGAGTTTTCAGCATGTTTTTATTTGGACTCGAGTCACTCTGTCCAGCCTGCCGCAGAGCCCTGGGTCAGCCACCAGCCACCCCCGGCTTGCAGACCAGCTGTCAGTTGGAGGGAAGCAGCTCCTCGTCCCCTGTGGACACAGAGAGACTGGGGGAGTGGGTCTGTGGGTGGGGATCCTTGGGGCATGGGGAGGAGCAGCTGAGCCTGTAACAGGTGCTTGCTGAGTGGCGTCTGCCCAGGGTCCTGCCCGGAACCGCCTGATGTTTCACCTCCGTTTCTGACTCGCCCGAGGTGCCATTTCCCAGTGGGAAAAGCAAGTCCCAGAAATCCAATGGCTGCTGCTCCCTGCCACGCAGTTATTGTCATTCCGCACCACGACCGTGAGTAGCAGCAGCTGTAGCTGCTGTTAGCCGAGTCCCAACTCTGCCAGGGACTGTGAAGGCTGAGCAGGGTCTGTACATGGTCCCATTTTACAAGGGAGAACATCAAGGCTCTAGCCGGCACTTGTGCCATGTGGTCAGCTGAAGGTGGCAGCACCGGAACTGTAGCCCAGCTCTGCCCTGCCCCCCGAGCCTGCCCTGCTCACTCTCTGCCGGTGCCTGCCTAGCATCCCCCAGCTGCCCCATTCCAGCTGGGTAAAGCCCCAGGCTTGGCCCCATTTCACAGATGGAAAGCTAAGGCTCCAAGCATGAATGGGCTGCTCACTGAACACAGAGTCAGAACCCAGAGCTGCAGACCCCCGCCTCCTACCAGGGTTCCCCCTGGCCCCAGCTCCTGACACCCCCCCAACCCAGCGCAGCACCCCATGGGCCCCCTACCGTCACCAGGCTTCCCGCAGTACTCCTTGCACTCCTTCTCCGAGTAAAACTTGTTGCCGTTGCCTTGGCAACCGCCATAGTTGAAGAGGACACACTTCCCCTGGACGGCATCAAATGCCCAGAGAGGGAAAATGCCGCGGCATGGGCCGGGGACTATGGGCAGGCTGCAGGCGGCTGTGGGAGGGAGGAGGCACAGAGCGTTAGGGTCATCTTGCCAGCCACTGCTGGCCTGGCATGTGCAGGGGACCCCTGAGCCAGGCCACCCTACCCATCTGCCAGGGACACCTGCCCCCTGCTTTACGCCTTGGAAAACTGAGGCCCACAGAGAGACGTGACCCGGCCAGTTACACCCTGGAAGTCTGCCGTGGGCGTGTGCCGGCTTAGCCTGCAGGTGGCCAGCCGACCTGGTGTGGGGGCTCACCCACGGTCCGGCAGGTCTGCAGACACTCCTTCTCCGACGCAAAGTTGTTGCCATTGCCCAGGCAGCCGCCGTAGTTGAAGGTTTCGCAGGCCATGGACGAGCCGTTGTAGAAATACCTCTCGAAGAGCCCCAGGCAGGGGCCCTCGGAGTAGCCCAGCTGGCAGGAGTCTGGGGAGGCAGAGCTGCACTTACTAAACACACTCTGTGCACTGCCACCAGGTGGGGCGCTTCCGCCTCCTCTCCTGGGGCTGCCGCCCCTATGCCAAGCGCACGGGCTGCCAACTCATCATAGAAGCCGACTCTCAGAGACGTACAGGGGCTTGCCCAGCGTGGCACAGAGCCAAGACGCCAAGTCCCGGATGCTGGACTCTAAAACCAAGGACAGCTGCCAGCAATGCCCCGGCCCACTGCCCCCTGTGCTGTCTTGTCTACACAAAGGCTGCAATACTAGTAGTGGTCCCATGTGCCCCAGCACCCCAACAGCCAACCTGGCCTCTTCACTGAGGTCCCACCCCCATGCCTCCTCTTTCCCTTGAATGCCCTTCCTGCATGAACCCTACCTGGATTCCTGGACACAGCATGAGTTCCCCTTCCTCCAGGAAGCCCTCCTTGATCTCCTTACCTTTCTGTCCCCTGAGCCCCCCAGCCCTTCATCTGGCCCTCCCTTTTGGGCATATCACTTTGTTCCTTGGCTGCCTCCCCTACTGGAGCAGAAGTCCCCGCAGGAAGATGCAGGTGGCCTGTCCTTGTGACCCAGCACAGGGCAGAGTGGGTTCCCTGGTTGCTGACTGGATTGCAAAGCGAGTGGCTCATGAGCACTGGGAGCTAGACAGAGCAAGCCCATGTCCTGCCCCATCTGCTCCTGCCAGCCACGCCCAGCCCAGTGGGCCGTGATCCCATTGTACAGCTGAGGAAACCAAGGCTCGACGGCCACACGGTCGAACATTCAGGGCAGGAACTCGCTTCTTACTGTGGAGCTATCGTAAGCTTAGAACCACACCTTAGGCTGCTGTCTCTCCACGCCCACAGCCCCTGGCTCAGTGCAAGGTGCTTGATGTGCCAAGTCCCTGCCCCGCCCTTGACCCTGGCAGAGAGAGCGCGACTGCGTAGTGCTGAACGTGGCCGGCCCCGGGCCCTCCTCTCCGGAGCCAGGAGCAAGGAGAAGGCGGTGAGAGGCAGGTGCCCGTTACCTTCTTTCTTGTTCAACTCCATCACCAGTCTCCCGGTCCCAGATCCTTCCTCTTCCTCGGGGAGCACAGCCCGCCGGGTTCTCTGGGGGCAAGAAGGAGACGCGGCGGCTGGAGAGACCTGGCCCCACGGCTCACCTCCACCTGGCTGCTTTGGGAATCGGGCTGCAGCCACCAGGTGGGTTAATAGACACGTTCCCCAGAGGCACCCCCAGACTGCACATCGCAGGTTTCCAGTAGGAAGTGAAAATCAGACACATCTAATTCCTTTTGCTCTGAGCCTTTTGAAGTTCTCTCTCTCTGTGTGTGTGTGTGTGTGTGTGTGAAGAGAGAGAGAGAGAAAGAGACATGCACACATCAGGAGAATAAATTAGGACCTATCACAAATAACCAGGACAACCGCGAGCGAAAGGCAGAAAATTGGGAGACAAGAGTAAGGCCACTCAGAAAACCAGAAGGGATCATGGGAAAGGACTTGGTTCGAGGAGCTGCTGGTTCTGTTTGCTTTCCGGCTTGTTTGTTTATCTGAGAGACTGAGATCGATCTCCGGTTCACTCCCCCGGTTGCCCAGAGGCTGAAGCTGGGAGCCAGGACCTCAATCCAGGCCTTGAGCCATCGCTACCGCCTCCCAGGGCCTGGCCTAGTGAGAAGCTGAAACTGGGAGCCCAGCTAGGAACGGAGCTCTGATTCCTGCACAGGACACGTCACGGAGTTCTAGCACAACCCAGAAGGTCAGCGTGATTGTGTCATTTCACAAATGAGAAAATTGAGGTCCAGAGCAGGTGGCAACTTAACGGCAGTGGCCGAACCAGGACTGAGCCCAGGTGAAGCTGACTCCATGCCCACCACTCACTGCCTTTGCTCAGCCTCCTGGAAGCCTCTGCCCCGACCACAGCAGGAACTAAGCCAGCTCAGCGGCCAGCTTGGCGGTGCGGTGCCTGGGGGAGGTTGGGCTGGGGCCGCGGTACTCACCAACACGGGGGCAGGCTTTGGTTCCTGCTGCCCGGGCACACATTCCCCTAAGTCAGAGGTCAGGAGAGAGGAGTGAATTAGAGCCTCTGTTGCCTGCAACGTCTCAGCAGCAGCCCCTCAAGGGCTGGCAAGGTGCTGGCGCCCCACCCCCACCCCTGACTGCGTCATCTCGGGGGCTTAGGAGGGAGGGGTTATGACGCCCATTTCACAGATGTGGGCAATGAGGCACTGAGAGGCTGACAAGCCAGCAGCAGGGACACTGAAAACCCAGGTGCTCTGAGTGGGGAGCCTGTGCTCTTAACGCCCACCCTGTTGTCTCCTAAGAGGTGCCCGTGGCTTTGAAACGCCCCCACTGAGACACACGCAGCAGAGAGAGCCCAGAGCGGGTCCCAGTCCCGGCTCTGCCAGGTACATGCTGAGCCTGGAGCACAGCTCTCTGGCTCCCTATTCATCTCAGAGGGTCACAGGAGGGCTGCGGGGGCGGGGCGGGGACCTGGGGTGGGGCTTACCTCTGTCGATCATGGTGAAGATGGAGTTCTCGGGGATCCCCACCCCGAGAGCCACCTCCCTGAACTCCTGCAGGAGGCTCTCCCTCAGCTGCGGCTCCCGCCCTGCGCAGGGGAAGCAGAGGAGTCACCTGGTGCCGCTGGGGCCGGGTGGGCAGGGCCCAGGGGTTAGGGGAAGGTGGAGAGCCACTGACCTGGGGCGCCACCCTGAAGACAGGTCCCCAGGGAGGAAGAGTGTCCCTCCAGGGTCGCCCCCAGTTTTCCTGTCCCAACCCACCCAGGGCTCTTTTCAGAACCTTGCGTTCCCCGGGTCTGAATTTGACCAAACCAGATTCTGTCTCGAGCGGGAGACTGGGCTCCAGCCCCAGGGAGAGGAAGCGCGTGCCCCTCCCTCCTCATCAGTTGCGCTTGCGCACCTGGCACCCCACTCCAGCCCTGAGTCGCCGGCCTCCTGCACCCCCCACCCAGCCCCAGCAGGCTGCCATACCATAGAGCTTGGCGGTGATGGTGGGGCCGTGGCGGCGGCTGAATTTCTTGGTGAGAAAAATGGCATACTCATCGTAGTTGGTGTGCACCACGTAGGACTCCATGGTTAAGTTCCATTCTGCGGGAGATGCGGAGCAGCCGCAGGGTGCGTGGTTAGAGGCCCAGCGCCTGTTCACCTGCACACCCCATCTCCAGCCAGCTGTCTGCCCCAGGCCTGCCTCCGTCCATCTTCACTCTGTCTCTGTCCGCCCTCTTCCCCCATACATTCCTCCTGGCTCCGTCCACCTACCATCTGCCGACATCCATCCGTGAATCCTTCCTGCCTCCCTCTCTATCGCCATCCATGTGGGAATTAGAGGACTGTTGGAGGAGCTCACTCATCTGCCATGCATACATGGAGCCATTCACCAGTCCTTTGGTCATTCACTCATATAGTTGTCCATCCACCCAGCTACCCGCACACCCGTCTGTTCACACGGCGCACACTCAGAACACAGCTGCCGAGCTCATGAAGAAGTTCACGGCCAAATCCTCCTGTCACTCCGCACCGTGCACAGGACACGAAGACCGGAATCTTGTTCTCGGCACCCAGCACCATCGCCCTATGCTGGGGGCGTGCATGGGAGGGGGGCGGGAGAGGAAGAGGAGGGGCGAGGGGAGGGGCGGGGGAGGAATTTGGAGGAAGAAGGCTCAGCTGAGTAAGGGGCAAGGTTCTGGGCGGAGAGAGAGTGGAGGCGGGAAGGGAATGAGGTGGGGCATCAGGGTGCTTCAGAGTGAAGCAGAGCGGCAGGTGCACCTCGCACTGCACTCACTGGCTTTGTGGTACAGGAACTTCCCGTCAGTGTCCGTTTTCTCATAGGCCCCGGAGATCTCCTCACAGACGCCCCTCCTGCAAAGGAGCCAATCCTAAGGGAGGTAACTCCGGCGAGCCCGAGACCCTGCCATCTGGCTGTCCCGTGGGGCTCCTGCCATGGGGCTCCAAGGCCCTTGTTGTTGGTGGTGGTGGTGTTGTTGCTTAGTTTGGAGATTAACAATCACAGGTGTCTTGTTCAAGCCTCCCACCAGCTCTGGGAGGCCCTCATTGAACAAGCCAGGGAACAGAGGACAAGGGGAAAGGGACTCAGCCCCACACCCTCCTGGCCCAGCCGGCGCTCCGAGCACTTTCCCTAACCCAGTCCGCACATACGCCGCGGCACGGGGGAGCCGGAGGACGAACGATGCATCGACTCCTTCCCTAGTCTACGACTCTCCTTCCCCAGGCTCCCCATCCATAAGGTGGGGACAGCGTAGTTTGCCCCCGACATGGCTGTGACGATGTCATGGGTGACACGGAGTTGGCTAAGACTGCGTGTCTGCTAGCTGGGGTTGTGTGAACATGTCGCGGGCAGCCTCCAGGGTACAGAGGAGAGCAAGACCGACCTCACCCCTGCATGCAGCTGCCAGCCACTTGGGGTGTGCTGGCAGGAGGCAGAGCAGCCAGTGTGGCAAGTGCCGTGGACAGGGATCAGCAGGTGCTCCGAGGCCCTGGGACCTGAGCCTGGGGGTCAGGGAGGGCTTCTTGGAGGAAGTGATATGGAACCAAAGTCCCCCAGGACCCCTTCTATTAGCCCAGGGAGTTCTCAATGGAAGGACCATCAGGTGCAAAGGTGCAGAGGGCAGAGAGTGCCAGGAGCTGAAGAGGATCTCTGGGTGAGACACAGAGAGCCGTGAGCGCCGCGGGGCGGGCCGGGGGGGGGGGTTGAACCTCACTCCTGGGGGCAGTGGGGAGCTATGAAAGGGTCTTGGGTGGGTTGAAGGTTCACAATGCCTTTCTGGGTGGAGAGTAGACAGGCTGGGAGGTTCGTGATTACAGGTGGGTGGGGAATGGAGGTTGCTGTAGGAAGGACGGGGAGGTGGCTTAGGGCAGGGGTGGCAGGTGGGGGGTGGGGAGAAGGGAGCAGGTTGGAGAGAGGAGGGAACGGGCGCAGCAGGGGACAGAGGGGCTCGAAGACGCCCTTGACCCTTGTTGTCCCCCAGGGTTCCCAGGCTGGGCCCCTGAGGGCTGGAGGGGCGCCTGTGGTCTGCCAAGCCCACAGAGAGGGTTGGGGAGGGTGCTGGCAGCGGGGAGCTCTATATAAGGTGGCCAGACAGGGCAGGCCACTTGGGGCCCCACGCTCACCGCCAGTGCGTGCTGGTCATGCTGATCTCCGTCTCGCTCGTCCCCTCTCCCAGCACCAGCGTGCTCACGGCCATCCTGTCCTTGATCCTCTTCAGCCACGGGCAGGTGGACCCCACAGCCAGGTTGTACCATTTCCCGTAGATCTGGGAGGTGACCACAAACGCTGGGGAGGTCAGATCTGCCCCTCCCTCCTCGCGTCACTTGTCCCTTCAGGGACAGGGGTCTGTGGCTGTGGGTGGAGGCGCAGCCCCCGCAGCATGCTGGGGAAGGAGTCGGGCAAAGGGGGTCCCCACCCTGCCCTGCAGAAGCCCTCACTCCACCGAGACGTGGGAGCTCCCCGTGCTGCCCGCACGGACAGGGTCTACACTGCCCTGCTCCCAGGTCAGCGCCACGGCCGCCTGAGAGCCAGAGCCGTGTCTTTCACTCCCGCCGTCACAGGGAGCTCATCACCTTGCAAAGCGCCTCCCAACTGTGTGAGGAAGACGCGGGGCGTGGGGATGTGACAGAGCCCTCAGCTTCCTGAGGCTCCAGCCAGACGCTGCCTCACTGCACCCCCCACCTGCTCCTCCTGCTGCTCTCTGCCTACGACCCTTCCTTGTCCCTCAAAGCAAGGAAGCCCATGGGATGTCACAGCTACCGATGCGGAGCTGGAGCCGCAGGAGCACAAGGGCTGGCTCAAGGTCATCTCAGGGCTCAGGGGCGAGCCCCAGGACACACACGCACACACACACACACACAGTGCTGTCCTTGCCCACCCCAGGCCACGGTGGTCTCTGTGCCCTCAGCCTCCGGATCCCACCAGCCCCTGGCCCATGGCCTGCTTGTCCTCCTCCCAGAATCCCCTGTGCCCTGCTGCAAAGCCAGAAGGCACGTGCCCGTCTGTGCCATGGCCAGACTTGTGAGGGCAGAGGCCCCAGGATGAGCTGGGCTGGGCTGGGAGCGTCAGTAGGGAGCTGGGAGGGGACAGCAGCAGATGTTAGGGTCTCATGGGAGCATGGTTGACCCTTGGAGCCAGCGAGCCCAGGAGGGGGGTGATAATCAAGGAAGACAGTCCCAAAGAATGGCGATGGGAAGAGCTGTCGCCTCAAAGTCTCCCAGGAGTCCCAGGGGTCTCTCAGCCCAGGGCCCCTGGGACTGAGTCCCAGATGGGGAGGCGGAGGCCCAGAGACGGGCAGGGCTTGCCCAGCAAGGACCAGCAGCCGGGACACCCAGCACAGCACCCAGGAGCCAGCCTTACCCGAGAGAGCTCGAAGTTCTCCTGCACTTGGATGTCGTCCGGCAGGGTGGGCACGGGGTCGGCCCTCACCGGCAGGCAGACCGCCAGCAGCAGCAGCAGCAGGGCCCAGGGAGTCGGCATGGTTCTGGGCTTCGTTGCTTCAGCTGTCTCTGAGAGGCTGGGACGGCAGACGGAGGGGCCGCGACCTCCCTGCCCCGGGGACAGCTGTGATCTGAGGCTGGGGCAGAGGCCAGTGGCTTGTAAGTGGCCTTGGTGTTTGCTCTGCTCAAGCCAGGACCAATCAGGGCCCCAAGGCCGGCTCCAATCGATTCCTGGAGCCGGGTCGGCGCCCATGCCGGCAGCCAGGAGGCCAGAGTGCTTGTCTCAGAAGAGACATTGGCCAACACAAGGGGACCATGGCGCAGCCCAGAGACGCCTCACCGGGGCGGGGGAGGGGAGGGGGAAGGTGGGGGTGCAGGAGACAGGCAGCACCTGGCCTTTCCTTCCAGGTCCTTCCACCTGAACTTCCCACTCCCCCAGAGCCCATGGGTCAAGCCTGAAGGGGCCCATTTTCGAGATGAGAAAACTGAGGCCCCCAGAAAGTATCAGAAACCACAGGGACGCTAGGGCTGAGCTGAGACCTGGGCACCCTGTACCCAGACTGCCTTCCTGCGCAAGCAGCTGGGTCCTCGCAGATGACAACGGGAGCATCGCGACAGCTTCCACTCCCTGCCCCTGCTCCACTCTGGCCCTGTCTGTGCCACCCTTTCCCAGGGCAAACGGCGGCGTTCAATCCCCATGCGAGCTCGGGACGCAGCTGGGATTCCTCCCCGTCACAGACAGAGCATTGGAGCCTCCAAGGAGCAGAGTGACTGACCCACGGTCCCAGCTGCTCCACTTCCTATCCAGCTCCCTGCTAATGCACCTGGGAAAGCAGTAGAAGATGGCCAAGTGCCTGGGCCCCTGCACCCATATGGGAGACCCGGAAGAGGCTCTAAGGCTCCTGACTTTGGTCTGGGCCAACCCTGGCCATTGCGGCCATTTGGGGGAGTGAACCGGTGATGGAAAAATCTCTCTGTCTCCCTCTGTCACTCTGCCTTCAAATAAGTAAAATAAAATACAGTTCCCACCCCCGGGAATCAGCTTATTTGCAGATGTGACCCAGATGAGGCTGTGCTGATGACAGTGAGCCTCTCCCCCCAGCAGAACCGAGAAAGAGGCTCGGAGACACGCAGGGAGACGGCCCCGGGGGACTAGGGGCTGCCGCCCAAGGCCAGCAGGCAGCAGGAGGCACGCGGTCCTTCTCCTGAGAGCCTTCGGAGGGAGCCTGGCCGCGGTGACCTCATGACCCTGGGCTTGGGGCCGCCGGCGCTGGGGGAGAGCACGTTGCTGCCGTCCACAACAGCGCTGCGTGGCCCGTCCTTGGTGACAGCAAGGACGCAGGAAACGCGTCGACGAAGTTAAAGTTAGATGAGGCATTTTACCAAGTCAGGTCTGCTTGGCTGTTGCTGGTGACGTCACAGTCCTTTTCGGTGGCCTGTGGTCCGAGCTGCCGCCCTGACCACTTAGCAAGGGACAGTCCTGGCAAGGGACAGTCCACACCCACAGCAGCCTCCCTGCTACAGCTGGGACTGATCCCTTCAGATAGCTGGTTTGGGGAGAAGACCCCTGCTCACGTGAGAATCGGGGGCTCCCGCCAGCGTGGCGCCCTCTGTAACACTGGTCTCTACCTGCCTTCTCACTCGCATCCAGAACCAACGTGTCTCTACTCATAAATGTGTTTCTTTTGGACCATCACTGACCTTTTTGCTTTGGCTGCCAGGAAGCTCAAAACTATGATACGAGTGTTAGCCCAGCAACTGGCTTAGTGTTGTTTTCTGGGTCATTGTCCTGGTTCACTAAGCTCTCAGTGTGTATAGAAGGCAAGCCAGACCCTGACTTCCCCTGCTCATGTGACCTTGGGGATGGCTTTCCCTCTTGAAACCCCATCGCCCTTATTTGCAGACTGCAATAAGGGGGACGTGCCCTGTTGGCCAAGAGGGAGAGAGGGAGAGAGTGCATGCAGAAGGCTCTGTGAACCGTCCTCTGCCTCACCTGGGCCAGGGCTCGGGGCTGCTCACAGGGAACCAGCCCGGCTCATCTGAACTCCAACCCATTGTGCAGGTGGGAAGCCCGAGGCACGCAGGGGTGCAGAAGTTCCAACCCCGGCCTCTTTGGTTGATGGCTCAGCCGTGCGGCCTCTCCCGGTGAACTCCTCTCCTGTCTCCCGGGATGTTTGCGCTCCTGAGATGATTAACCAGCATGCACAGCGAGAGCTGCCACTGTCAGGGCCTCTTGGACTTTGAGCTGCTTTTTTAAAAATTAACCCCAGGGCCACAAGAATGCAAGCTGGGCAGCGGCCAGGTGGCTCCTCTTCCCCCTCGGGCTGGCGGGGTGGGCGGATGGAGGCTCTGTGGCCCCTGCCCTCCTGGCGGGTCCTGGGGGTCCAAGGATGCCCAGGGATTTCCCAGGTTCTGGGCCCATTTCAAGGGGGAGGGGAAGGCCTTGGAGGTGCCCCGTGCAGAGGGAACTGAGGCCTGGGCTTCTGGATGGGCACACTGGGCTCAGCGAGGGAGGAAACTTGTTCCAGGTCACCTGGCTGGGCTTCGCCCCCATCCCCTGCTCATGGGCCACAGCCTCTTTCACCAAATATACACCGCACACCTTGGAGCTGGGGCCAGGCTGGCCACCACAGCGGGCCTCCCAGAGCTTGCCTGGGCCTGGGGTCTGGGAGGGAGGCAGACACGTGAGGAGGAGGTGGTGGGGCAGGGTGGTCCCTCCTGTGACGGGGAAGCAGAGGCCGGGGAGGGAAGTTGAACCCACAGCAGACAAAAATGCATGGGTAGGGGGGCGGCGGGGGAAGGTGTTCCAAACACAGGGAAGAGGAGTTGGGAAGGTTTAGAGGAGATTGGAAGGAGAGAGAGGTGCAATTGGATGGCAAAAGAATGAAAATAAACTGCAGCTCTGGAGCTTGGGGGAGGGGAGTGGCAAGGGCGAGGGTAAGGCCAGGGAGGGGGCCGGGATCACCGGGCCAAGGACGGCAGCTTGGCAGAAGTGAGAGGCGGCCATGTGATCTGTAACGGGGAGAGAGGAGTCAAGAGGTTGCAGGCATGGGAGACCCAGGACAGGATTTCCAGGAGGCAGGAGGGGCCCAGGGCCCTGGGTGGGTGCACCAGCAGGGGCGTCAGGACTGGCGGGGGACCTCAGGCTAGGAGATGTGGCCAGCGGTCAGGTCTCCTCTGCAGACGGCAGGGTGAGCCTCCTTCCCGACAGGGCCTGGCCCTGCTCACCACCTTTGAACTCAGCAGCAGCTCAACGCTGCTAGGCATCATGGCCAAGGTGAAAGTGGGCAGTGCCCAGGGCCCCACGACCAGCAACACTGCCAGCTGTTTCAGGCTCAATTTCAGGCTCAGCCCCCAGCCCTGCTCCCAGGAGCGAGGCCATCCAGAGACTTGAGCCACCCTGGGGTGGACTTTGCTTCCCTGGTCTCAGCTGCTTCATCCAGACCTCCCAACTGGAGCCACACTCGCTGGGTTAAATACAGAATAAGGGACATTTATAAAAGTGCCCCCCATGTGTGTGCACTTGAGGGACCCGGTGTTCTCATAGGCACTTAACATAGCATCCCAGCCCATGGCCTCCAGAGAGCAGGCTGAATTACAAGAAGGCGGCGTGAGCGACCTGTGTCCACTAGGGGGCAGCAGAGAACTTCCAACACGACAGCCAAGGTTTGTTCCCAGTAAAGGGAGATGGCGGCCTGGAGCAAGGCCCATAGGGAGCCAACGCAGTCTTCCTTGCTGTTTACTAGGGTGAGTGTAGGACATCCAGCCTCTACTTGCCCATCCCCAGACAGGCTGAGATGGGACAAGCAAGTGTTGAAGGTCACCCAGCCCGTGGGCAATGACTCTGACCTTGTAACCTCAGTCCCCTGAGAGACAGCAGCACTCCTGGCCGTGTTCTTGGGACCCCAGAGCTAAGGGGTCTCCCTGCACTGGACTCTCCACAGCCGGGTCAGGCTTATGTGGGCCCATTTCTCCCTTCCTTGGCTAACAGCGTGCCCCACGTGTGCCCTCTGTTTTCCCTGGGGGCCTAGCACTGTGCTGGGCACACAATAGGTGCTCAACAAGCCGTGCAGATCGACTTCCTCAGAACCAAGCCAAAGAGAGCCGAGGGGTCGGATCGAGAGGGTCGGGAGAGAGGAATCCCTGTGCCCGAGGTCATTTAACAGTGATTGGTGAGTGGGTAGATCGGTAAGGGAGCAGATGCCCGGACCCCTCGATGGCTCGATCGCTCCCCAGCGACTTGTCCCCAAGTCCTGGAGTCCTGGATTCGGGGTTTGGGGCTGGGACAATTTCCCAGGCTTTGCCTGGTGCCGTGGGTCGTGTTTGCAGCTGAACTCTGCACCCAGGCACGCTGGGGACCCAGTCTTGGCTGCAGCCCCCGGCTGCCCGTTTGATCTTAGTGAAGTGACTTCAGCCTTCCGAGCCTGTGTCATTTCCTCTGTCCAGTGGGGTGAGCGGAGGTCACAGGGCGGCTGAGAGTGAAACGGTAAGAAGCTCTTTGGAGAGAGCTTCACACACAAGGAACGCGCGCCCCGGGTCAGGGGTGCCCTTGCACGTGGTCGGTTAGGGCTCCTGACTGTGGAGCCTGGAGAATTTGTCCCAGCTCCCAAAGTGAGGCAGCTGGGAGCTCAGAGTGTCCTGGAGCTCCGGGCTCCCTGGGGACCGAGCTTGTGGCCTGGGCGCTGGCTGGCTTTGCACATCCCACATCCGGGGAAAGGACTCCCACAGCAGCTTCCTTGGGCGTTGGCTGCTCAGCAAAGACACACAGGCGCTTCTCTGCCCTTGGTGGGCTGGGCTCATCCGTCCGCAGGACCTGCAGGGGCGGGTCCCAGCTCCCAGGTGACAGGGAGGGGACATGGAAGTCCCACTGGTCTCAATGGAAGGCAAATCCCTCTCTTGCCTGGGAAGGGCCGTGGGAGCGGCTGCCTGGCCCTCGCCCCAGGTGAGTCCCCATGGACCTGCCTCTCCCTGGAGGGATCCTTCGCAGAAGGAGCTGGCCGAAGTGGATGCCAGCCAGGTCGCAGGCCTGTAGCTCGAGTCTACACACCGACCCGATGCCTCTGCTGCCAGTACAGGGTTCACCTCGGCTGTCAGCGCTCAGAGCAGCCACACGCAACAGCAACCAGCCAAGACTTAG